TCCCCCATTAGCTTGGGCGGATATGCTGAACTGAACATGCTTGACAACGAGTCCCTTCAAGTTGCTGTTCCAAAAACTGATGGAGCAGCGTCCTCGAGGCAGGTAGAGGCGTGATGAATTTGTTTCTGCAAGGTTTTTTGCATGGCGACTTGCCCCGGCAAGCCTTACTGGAAGCAGGCGCTTTGCTTTCGGAAGGCGCTGCCACTGCACGACTATCTTGCTGCATGCATACTGAATCTGGTGGTCGATGCAAGCTAATTAAGATGGTTCCGGCTGGAGGTTCTGACTACCCTCTAGCTTCATTCGGCCCTGCAGCCTACACGGCCCGCGATTGGACTCCAACCTACGAGACGAAGTCTGAGCAACCGATGTCCGTGCGGCGCAACCTATCGACCAGCACTCACGCAAAGCACAATGCTTGGGCTGCCGTCGCAGTGCCAGCAGCGGCAACTACACTAGCTTCTAGTCGAAGGGCCTGACAGAGCATCCTTCTGCCGGCATGCGTACTTGATTCCTTGATGGCTCTTGTCCTTTAGATCGTTCCTCTCCCAAGAATGGTCTGAGTGACTAATTAGCTTGTTCGGAGTCAGCATGCTGTGACCTGTCTTTCTTCGCCAAAGTTCACATAGGTTCCATGAGTGCGGGGCTCTTTCGTTCCGAAGCGCTCCGAGCTTGGGGCATCCGGGCGCTTCAGTCGCGCACCGATCCGAAAGTCAAGCAACGGTTCTGCGGCTTGTTTGGCTCAACATTTCGCACTTGCAGCATGTAGGGCCATTTTGCAGGCAGGGTTTGGCAAACCACGACGAGCTTTCCGACACTCGCCATTCCAACCCCCACCATGGAGGGCGAGAGGGGCGCTGCTGCCGCTGTGCTCAATTCAAGTCTGATTGGTCGGAGGATCAGAAGTTTTGAAAGTCGCTGCCTGTTTGCTTGATGTCGCTGTTGTTGGATTGCATTCCTACAGAACCGTTGGACATGACTACCCCACGTGTCCAATATCCAGCAAAGGCATTGTATTTTTTCTCGGGGTTTTTGTTCTTGTATGGGATGTTTTTTTCTGCCGCTGCTCCGGTCCTGTGGTCCTCCGGTCCCGTGGTCCTCTGGTCCCGTGGTCCTCTGGTACTGTGGTCTTTTGGTCCGCTGTCCTCTGGTCCCTTGGTCCTCTGGGCTTTGCTGTGTACCACACTTGTGTGCGAAGTGGCAACTTATCGCTTTCATCAAACCACCGAGCGGATCACGAGTGGATCTGCTGAATCCGATTGAATGCGCACTTGCTACGTATCTCGTTGCCATTTGGCTGAAGTTCTTCTTGAAAAGCCATTCTTTTCCTCTCCTCCGGGGATACTGCTGTTGTCGTCATGGCTGCTCGGCGAAGCAACTCCTGATTTGACTTCCTGTGTGAAGGCACGATGGAGTCTTTCCTCCGGGTGTGCAAATTCCCCCGAGCATGCTCGAGCAGTTCCCCGGGGAGATATCATGAAATTGTTTTCTGCACTTGCTGTATTTACTCCTACATACGCTGAACTATCTTGGGGTTGCTTGCCCACTGCAAGATGCCTGTGCCTGGCGGCTTCTGAATGCCCCGATGTCGATCTGCATGAAGAATGGGTCTGCAAGACCAGTAGTTGTCTCACCTGCTGCACAGGGCGGAACTAGGGGGTGGGTCCTTCTGGGTCTAGTCTGGGTTGCCCTGGATTGCAGCTGGAGTCGATGAGGTTAATTTGCGGCTGGTTGGTTGCCGTTCCTATGGTGGTCTTTGCGAAGCTCACTTGACAACTCGTATTGGGTGCCCGATGCGCTGTAATTATCATTTCTCAGTCAGTATGGTCTGCCGAGCCTGCCTGGTGTTTCCCGCGTGTGAGTGTCCAGAAGCCATGAACGCGAAACCCTTCAACTGTCAAATTGTACACTAAACGTGAAGCGCCAATGCCCTAACACTTCAAAAGCTAAAAGGACCCTAAACTCCTAAACTCCCTAAACCCTACATGCTGAACCCTGCTATGCGAGTCCGTCCTGGCCACGCCGGAGGCAAACAAACCTTAATCCAAGCTTGGAAAACACTTGAGTCAAGGCCCGGACTTGCGCACTCTGCCGCACGCCGGTCCTCAGCGTAGCCCACTGCCCACTTCTCGAGCAGCTGATTGCCCCTCACCTGAGCCGTGAGGGTTCCGTCCATGAGAGGGCCGTGCGAGAGTTCTATGACGCTTCTGTTGTTTTTATTGGCCCGAACGGGATCTTTTAAAGTTCAGGGTTCAGGGTGGTAGCGTAAATCAAAATCGTAAGCACATACTGTGTGTGTCTACGGTTGAGGGTTCGGTGTGGGAGCTTGCATGAACTTGTTTAGCGACTGGTTCTTTCGGGGTTCAGGGCTCTCGGTTTTGTCTACTTGATGCCCTAATTTCTGATTCAACCTCCCGAAACGCAAACTCTAAACCCTTTACCCTAATCTATCTGGGCACCCTTGTGCCCTAGTCTCCAGTGATCAGGTTAGGGTAATTTGTCTATAGGAGTGTCTCCTCAAATACCTTAACTTGACAATTGAAGACTACGACGCAAGGGTACCCAGCTTAGGGTATAAAGTTTAAGGTTTAGGGCTTGGCTTTAGGGAGGTCTAATCAGGAGACCCTGATACCTGTAGCTGAAGATTAGGACACAAGTGTAGCCATAAACCCCTAAACCCTTAAACCCTAACCCCTAAACCCCCCCTTAAACCCTAAACCCTTGAACCAAAACCCTAAGCCCCCGATTTAACCATGAACCTCGCCTGGCTTGTCCGAGTTGTGAGAGTGTAAAACCCCGATTTAGCAGGGCGGAGGAGCTTGGGTTCGGGCCGTGAGGGTTTAGGCTTCAGGGCTTATTGAGGGTTTCATCATTGGGGTTGAACTCTTGTGTGGGGTTGAATCGGGGTGTAGGATGTAGGGTTTTAGTGCATTGCAGTCCCTGCTCAAAAAAAGGTGATTAGGGTGTGGGGTTGAAGTGTTGGTTTTGGGGTGGGGCTGAGCCGGTTCTTGCAATGTGACTTCCGTGATGGCCCCTCTTTACACCCCCAACAAAAACACTTTAAACTCTGAAGAATGCATATGTTTCACTGAAAGTTCCTACTGTGGTCACTCAGCTGAGGTTCCTTCATCCCACACCCTACAAACCTCCACCAAAATTTCGGGCTCAGGGCTGCTAGGGTAGGGTTTCAGCGTCAGGGTTCTACAAACCCGTCCAAGTTTGGTATATTCCTTAACAGGAAAGAAGCTCCCGGCCTGAAGAGTTTGTGGTGTTCGGGCTCGCCGCGGCATGGGCCGCATGGGTTGTTTGTTGGAGTTTGGGGGTGTTGCTGAAAAAGGCGGGTTTTTGGGGCTGTAGGGTCTTGTCATCACAAGGCTTTGAGGCTTGAAGGAGCTTCGTCGCTGTTTCGCGGGGTTTTATGGTGGGGAGGGCTGAAGAATGTATGTCTGTTGAGGGGTGCCGGCGCTTTGTTTGCTTCGGGGTGTTTTCCTCAACCGCCGAAACCTCAACCTTTGTCCGGCCCTGGGCCTTTTGCCCCAAACCAAACCCTAAATCCTAAACCCTAAACCCTAAACCCTAAACCCCTAAACCCCTAAACACTAAACTCCCCCAAACCCCTAAACCCTTAACCCCTAAAACCCCAAAGCTCCGGAGGACAAGAAAGTCAACGGCTCTGCCTCTGGAGACTCCCCGGATGCTGACCCAGCTCGGTTGGCCCATCGGTTTGGAGAAGAGGGGTTTAGGGTTTTGGGATTTAGGGTTTTGGGGTTTTGGGGTTAGGGTTTAGGGTTTTGGACGTTTGGGGGTTTAGGGGTTTAGGGGTTTAGGGTTTAGGGGATTAGGGTTTAAGACGTTTGGGGGTTTAGGGGTTTAGGGGTTTAGGGTTTAGGGGATTAGGGTTTAGGACGTTTGGGGTTTGGGGTTTAGGGGTTTAGGGGTTTAGGGGTTATAGGTTTAGGGGTTAGGGGTTTTGGGATTTGGGGTTTTAGGGCTAGGGTTTGGGGTTTAGGGATTTTAGGGGTTTAGGGGTTTAGGGGTTTGGGGGTTTAGGGTTTAGGGTTTTGCGTTTTAGAGTCTTGCAGGTTTGGGGAAGTAAGCCAAAGTTCGAGCTTTCAGAAGCATGTGTATAAACCCTTGTCGGGCACTTTAGAGGTATCATACAGCAGTTTGCAAAAGCCAGCCCAAGCCCGCTTCTGTATTTCCTTCTTTTTGATTAAGGTGTTGAGGACTTAGGATTTGGGGTCAAAGGCTTAGGGTCTAGGGTTACCGGTCTAGTGCGCAGGGCGTAGGGGGTTTTCCACGACGTTCAACCCGTGTATCAGACTCGCAAAGAGACCGTAAACCCTAAACCCTAAACCCTTTCACTAAACCACCTTAAACCCCAAATCCTGAACCCTAGACCCTAAACCCTAAACCCTGGATCGTCCGAGTTGTGAGAGTATGTGAACCCTAAACCCAAATGAACCCCCATCAGCTCCGGAAAAAACCCGCCCAGGAGCTCAAAAACGCATTGCGGGACCTCGGCAAGGGAGACTTGAACAACATTCCGGCAGCTTACCGCCGGAACCTTGGAGGGCTGGGATAAGTACATATATATATATATGTGTGTGTGTATTTTTAGGGGTCCTTGCTTTTTGTCATCGTAGACTAATTGAAATATATGATAACGCATGATATTCCTTAAGGTTCCTTGTTATAGTTATTTGCGAAGAACTGCGTAAAGGGCACAACCGTGCCCTACATCGGTGATTTTCCTTTTGTGGTTTAGAGACCCAAAAGAGGTGGGATGAAGGTTCGTAGGGAATCCAAATCGCAGGCGCAGAAGATTGAAAGGGATCATTAATGGGTTTTTTTAGGCCGGTTGTTTCGCGAGAGTCGCGGTCGTTGGGCCAGGTGAGGTACGCCAGTGCACTTGTCGCTGTCATATCTTGGCCCAAACCACAGCATCTCGGGGTTTTCACCATGCCTAAACCCTACCCGAGACCCTAAGCCCTAAAGAACAGCCCCTGTTTGGCTTGTCGGAGTGCCAGTGTCAGAGGCCGCGTGCCACCCTAAACCCTAAACCCTAAACCGTGGCTCTCCACACCTGAAGCTCTAAGCCCTACTCCCCCAGAGTGAGACCTAAACCTTGAAACCCCCGAACCCCTCCAGGGACCTCGCATAGAAACCCCACGGCACCCCCTTCAAGGAGCCCCTTCAATTAAAAGAACCTTAAAGAAACTTTAGTATAGAAGCCCCACAGTAACCCTTCAAGGATCCCCTTGTAAAAGAAAGCCCTTACTTGGAACTTCATGGGTAGTTATAAGTATGGTTAGAAGTCCTCCAATATGGGTTATAACTATAGTTACCTTACTTATAACCCCACTTAACTACCCATGAACCTCCAAGTAGCCTTCTCATAGCACCCTAAACCCTAAACCCTAAAACCCTAAAGCCCTAAACCCTAAACCCTCAACCCTAACCCCTTAAAGGATCCCCCTGAAGGTATGAGCCTCCTGAAGTCCCAAGAGCTTCTCGCTTGTTCTGCTGGGTTTTAGAGTACCATACTTGAATACTTTTTTTTGGGTTTAGGGTTTAGGGTTTAGGGTTTAGGAAAGGAACCATTATAAATCAAAAGTCTGTACTTTTTCTCCCTGGTTACTTCAAAGTCCAGTCTGTGTTTCCTGTCAGAGGCTACTTGGAGGATCATGGGACTCAGTAACTAGGATGTTAAATAAGATAACTATACTTATCTGGGTCCTTGTTGGATACAATTTTACATTCTTGTTATAATAAAACCCAATAAGGATCAAAAATGATCATTTTCAATATATCACCAACAAGGAACCAGTCATAACTAACCAGTTAGATAACTGTACTTACTAAGTCTTTTGCTTCTCTAAGTACCGAGATTCACCTTTAATGCCGTAATCTAAAGCTCTCTACACACACAAGAGAGCCCGGAAGTCCCGTCCCACCACTGGGCCCTGGAGCCCTAAGCCGGAAATTACATTGCACCTTATTTTTTAACACTTCGTGGCCCTCTAAACCCCTAAACCCCTAAACCCCTCAACCCTAAACCCTAAATCCCCAAACCCTAAACCCTAAACCCTGAAAAAACCCTGAACTCTTGCAGGCACGGATGCAGTGAAGGGAGCCGCCTATCGGGCGATCCGAAAGAGCGATCTCACCATGCTCACGAACTGTCCCTCGGAACTCCCAGCGTTGTGGGCATGTCGTGACGGTTAAGATGTTAAGTTTAGGCCCTTTCTTTTGGTTGTGTTTTTTGAGTCTTCGGCCTTTAGCTATTCAGTGGTCTCGGGTTGTGCCTTTCTTGAGGCTTTAGGGTGCAGGGATTGGGGGTTTGGGGTTTGGGGTTTAGGATGGTTTTCAGGGTTTAGGGGGTTACGATTGCGATTGAACGGTGCAGATCATGGGATTCTATGTGCCGATGAGGGGTCGCGGCTGGACTCAGCTATCTCATCCATTTGGCATGGCTTGCTTGTAGCCATGACGATTCGCGATTTCAGTGTTGCAGGCGGTTCAACCTCCGCAGCCTCAAGCCCAAAGCCTGAACACGACACGTTCAGTTTGAAGAGTCTGTTTCGACGTCAGAGGCATGTATACTCTACCCCACAGTCCGGACACAAAGCCCCCTGAAGTCACGAATGCCCGGTCCTCAAGCCCCCCCTAAACCCTAAACCCTAAAACCCGAAAAGCCTAAAACCCTAAACTCTAAACCTTAAACCCAACCCTCAAGCTGTAAGCCCTAGTCCCGGCCCTGAACCTGAAGCTTACTTTGGGGGGGTTGGAATAATGGGTGGTGGTAGGCCCTTACGCCATTCTGATTCTCAAACGCCTTCATGCCCCCTAGGACGCCCAAAGCCCCAGCCTTTCCTCGGAGTAAAAAACCCTCAGCCCTAAGCCCTGCACGGTTTAGGGCTTTCGTGTTTAGGGCTTTAGGATTGTAGGGTGTAGGGTTGTAGGGTTTAGGGTTTAGGTTTTTAGGGTGTAGGGTTTCAGGGTTTAGGGTTTGAGGGCTTTAGGGTTTAGGGCTTCAGGGCTTTAGGGTTTAGGGTTTTAGGGTTTTAGGGTCTTTAGGGTTTTAGGTTTTTTTTTTTTTTTGCGGTTTAGGGCTTTAGGGTTTTGGGGCTTGAGGGTTTCAGGGTTTTCAGGGCCTTTACCCGACACCCTAAGCCCCTGTAAGCCCGCGCCAAAGCCCTGGCTTAGGCAAAAACCCTGAAGCGCCAGGGTCCAGATGGTACTACAGGGGCCTTAATCAGGGGGCTCCTTATTATGATTGTCGTATAATAGACACCAAAACCCTGTTCTAATGATTAGGGCCCTTACATTAGGGCTACAAGCGACCAGGCATCCAGGACCTGAAAGTCCGAGCATCGACGAAGTTGATCCTGTGGCTGTTCAGCTTTCTTCTTCAGGGCTATGAGAAGGCTACTTGGAGGTTCATGGGTAGTTTTAAGTGGCGTTATAAGTAAGGTAACTCTAGTTATAACCCATATTAGGGGACTTATAGCCATACTGATAACTACCCATGAACCTCCAAGTGGAAGGCTAGCTTTTTGTGTCTCTCTAAGGTTCCTGTAGGGGTTCTGTGAAAGATTCCCGCCCTAGTAGTGCAGGGGGTTGGTCATAGGGGTTGGGAGGCGCTCGGGGCGATGAACCCTCTTCATGACCTCTGCACCTGCACTGGCAGTCACTAGCATTGGGTTTCGGGAAGTACATGTGCACCTCCTTACGAAAACTGAGCTCAGAAATCAGAAAGCAACCGTTTCGATCCTCGGGGCTTAGGATGACGTGCTGGGGGATTCCAGGCTGTTTTGGGATGCCTCTCCTTCGGAAGATCTTGACCCGGCATGTGCGCGACCGCTGCGGGTCATAGTATCATAGGGCATCCGAAGCTTCGTGTGTGGTTCGGTGTTCACATTTGGAACACGGCTGCATGGGAGCTCCTGGCAAGAAGCCGGGAGCTGCCCAGCCCTACTTGGAGGTTCATGGGTAATTATAAGTGGGGTTATAAGTAAGGTAACTATAGTTATAACCCATATTAGTGGACTTACAGCCGTACTTATAACTACCCATGAACCTCCAAGTACCCTGCGGTGCAGGGTTGGCGTTTGAGGGTTGGCCCCATCCAAGGAATGCTCAGGAACATTCAGAATCCTACTGCCGAGTTTGTTTTCCCTAAACCCTAAACCCTCAACCCTAAACCCTAAACCCTCAACCCTAAACCCTAAACCCTAAACCCTCAACCCTAAACCCTAAACATGCCACCCTCGTCTGCAGAGACTGCAGGGACCTGAAGGCAGACTCCAAGTAGTACTGTTGATGATATACATCCTGCATCACCTTAAGGACCCTAATTCTATGGGAATTATGGTATAGTCCTTATTATGGGTCATGCAGGATTTATATCATCAACCGTAGGATCCTTGTTTTCCGAACCCTGCGAAGCAGACGATGTGCCCAAGACCTCAGAAATAGGTTTAAAGGTCAGGACAGAAAAGGGAGGACTAGCAATACTCTTCCGACAGGTTCGGGCGAAATAGTCCTATCCATTTGCTATGCGTGTTAAGCCCCAACAGCAGCCAGTCAGGATGTGCGACGTCGCAGCTGCTCGGCAGAAGTTGCAGAATCAAGAGCAGAAATCTCGAGCTTAGAATCAGGAGTGTGGGGCTGTTGATAGGCAGTTCAATAGTTGAATGCTAAACCCTAAACCCTAGACCCTAAAACCCCAAACCCTAAACCCTAAAACCCTAAACCCTAAACCAAGCTTTAGGCGTACGATCTGGGCGGTTGAAACGATGCGAAGCCAAAACCCTCAACGTCCGGCAGCTGACATCATGACGGTTCTTTGGTTTAGGGTTCATGTAGGGTTTAGGGTGTGAGGTTTAGGGTTCACGTAGGGGGTGTAGAATCCTGACAGAAGGCATTCCTGCAACAGCGTATTTTTGCCACTGCCCGTACCCTCTTGAAGTCTTTTCAACCATGTCTAATTGCGAGGCGCCGAGATAAGATCCTACGCACCTATACAGCGTAAAGCCCTACAAACATGTAGCGTGCCCTTGGCACTTGGAGGTTCATGGCTAGTTATAAGTATGGTTGTAAGTTTCCTAATATGAGTTATAACTCTCGTTACCTGCAACCCAGAGCCTTAAGCCGAAGTTACGAGGCACAACACTTTTGGTTTCCTTACTTACAACCCCACTTATAACTACCCATGAACCTGCAAGCAAACACTGAAATCCTATGACCCCCGGAAGCCCGGAAGAACGCTGCGCTCGGCTGCGCTCGGCAATTCGAACCCCCGAGCGCCCAACACCCTGAAGAAACCCTCAGTTCTCTAATACCTTAGTAGCCGAATGAGTACACTCCAAACCCTATGGGATCAGATTACCCCCAAAAGGTACGCTTTAAACTTTGTTGGGCTAATATGATCCCTTACAGAACTGAAAGCATAGACTTCTTTGTGCTTATGAACTCAGTTCTCCAAGAGACCCAACCTTTGAGCTCTTGGGGCTCTTAAGGTTCAGTTAGGACTCAGGGCTTGGGGTTTAGGGCTTAGGGTTTAGGGTCTACGGTCTAGGGTTTAGGGATTAGGTTTTAGGGTTTAGGGCGGTTTAGGGTTTGGTAATTCTGAAAGGTTCGCCCTTCATTTCTGTTGCCTATTGGGGGAAGTAAGAAGGCACTCTCAGCGCTCGTCCCGACATGTTGCGGTGTATGCACGGCGCTCTAAGGAGGCGAAAGAATTGAAATCAATCAGATCGTGCCGCTTTAAGAAATCCGAAATCCCTAAACGCCTAAACCCGTAAAGCCCTACAGCCTAATCCCTATAAACAAAAATCCTGATCTCAGGCGGATTGGCAGGGCGATGCCGCGGTGGTCAACATGTTGATCTCGCATGGGGCACGTGTCAACGGCCATCAGGAGTTGAGTTTTGCTCGGCCGGGCTTTCTAGTTGGAGGTTCATGGGTAGTTACAACTGCGGTTATAAGTAAGATAGCTATAGCAAAACCTAAATTAGGGAACTTACATCTACCCATGAACCTCCAAGATAGTGCTTTTCAGGGTTTGGGGGTTTAGGCTTCAGAGTTTATAGGGTTTTGGGTTCAGGGTTTGAGGCTTCACGGCTTGAGGGTGTGGGGTTTTAGGTTTGAGGTTCAGAGTTTGGGGTTCAGGGTTCAGGGTTATGTAGAGTTTGGGCTTCAGGGTCTTGATCGCCGCTGGGGCTTAGCTTTCCGCAAGCGCCACTCCTGCACAGAGAGACATCGTATTGCCACCGTGGGGGGCCGGCATGTGCGTGACTCCTGCTGAGAAGCACAATCCGCACTTCTGAAAATCCAACTCCCTTGAACCTCCCCAAAACCCCCAAAACCCTAAAGCCCAAACCCCAAACCAAGAAACCCTAAGAACTCCGAAAAACCCCTTGACCCAAACCCCAAAACCCTGCACCGTTTAAGCCCAAGTCGTAGAAGTTGCCGGACTTCGAAGCCTGAGACGAAGCCTGAGACGAGACTTGAAACCTGAAATAGCCCACACCCAAAATGGTACTTGGAGGTTCATGGCTAGTTCTACGTGGGTTTATAAGTAAGGTAACTATAGTTATGACCCACATTAGGGGACTCATAACCATACTTACAACCACCCGTGAACCTCCAAGTACTCGGTGACCTGTGCCAGAGCCTCTAGTCAAGTCAAACGATCGTTGGACCAGTATCCCTACAGACCTTTCCAGGCTGGTCCGAGTGTGAGCGTCAAAAAAAACTTTAAATCCCAAACCCCAAACCCTACACTGGCCCGACACCTTAAGTCCCAAACCTCAAACCCTAAAACCCAAACCCAGGGGCCTTAATAGTTAGAATAGGGCTTGGGGGCACCGTTTTGTTAAGCCCTACATCCTGGGACCCCTCGAAACCCCAAGCCGGAGCGAAAAGTTGCGCACAAGTACTAAGGCCTAACCTAGTAGCTGAACGGCTGCACTTTAAACCTTTTTGGGACAATAGAAACCCCTATAAGACCGAAAGTGTAGATTTTTTGGTGCCTATAAACTCAGAAACTAAGGTAAACAAGCCAGACCCCGAAATACTTCTACACCTGAATCCGCTCTGGGAAACCTCTAAATTTCCCTTATGGTTCTTATAGAGGAACAGTCTTTTTACATACTTTTAAGGGCCATCCCAGAATCCTAAACCCGCCACCCGAAGCTCAAGGTGCCTTGGGATTGTGGTTAAAAAGCAGCCACATGCAACCGGCATGAGACCTCTATACCAGCCCAGCAAGTGCTTCCCGTAAAGCCTCCTACACAACCCGACAGAATCATACCTTGTTTGAGGGAAACTACAGGTGGGGAGTTTAGAGTATATAGGGCTTTTATAAGGATTCTATAGGGTATATAGGGCTCCTATAGCGATAACTACCCACCTGAAAATGTGCTAGACTTATGACAGTCCTCCCTTCATTTCCAAAGCTTCCTTCAGAAAAGGGGAGCCGGAATATTTCCCAATATGCTGATGTATAGACACCCAAAAAGTAACCCAAACAGGCCCCTGTCTAACTTAAAACCCGGGCTCCCGTGGATGGACGCGTAATCAGCCTAAGAGTATTCCTTGCGGGAACCCTGAACCCTTAAACCCTTTCAGAAAGGTTTTGGCTAGGTCTTTGGGGTCTTTTGATGCGTTCCCTTATTGGGACTCACAGGATCGATCGATCATTGGGTTTAGGGTTTAGGATTTTGGGGGGTGATCGATCTTGTTTACGAATAGTTTTCAAAGGCTTTAAAGGGGCCAACCTCGTTGGACATCCAGGAGGAGCGACCTCTTGCCGTTGCGGCCCAGATGCTCTGGCCTGCACGGCGGTTCCGAGCGTAGCCTCAAAACCGTACACTCTTTTGTGAGGTTGTCTGGAATTGCTTATAGGGATCATAGGCGAAGTTCTCTAAGCTGCGGTGACAGGCGGGGGGCTTGAGAAGGTAGCTAGTTAAACTGTTGCAAGGGGCTGTTCGTGCAACCATACCAGCTTAGTCTGAGCATTTAGGGCTTAGGGCTTTTCGGCTTTCTACAGTTACCCATCCGCCTTCTCCTGGATGCAAACAAGTCGGCACAGTGAGACGAAGTTCGAGAAAGTGGACAGCGTTGCACATTTGCAATCTTCTTCAAGGCTCTTGCGGTAAGGTTTGCGCTTGAGGGTTTAAGACATAGATAAACCCCTTCCCCCTTATGTCCAACAGGTGCCCAACGTTCGGGCCCCGAACGGAAGGGGCTTCATGAATTGGGATGTGAGCCTGGGTTCAAAAAAAGGGTCTACTGTAGGGGCCTTAATAATTGGAGTGGGGTTTTGGGGCCCTCTGTACTATACGTAGAACAAGGAACCCCCAGAATAGCTTAGGTAATTATATAGGCTTCTATATTACTGTACCTTGATATCTCAACCTTAATCGCCCCAGCCGGAATCCAAGCGAACATTCTCAGCCAAGGAGAGGAAACCTGCCGATGCTCCGGGCACTTTTGGCACCCCCCGCAAAGCTTAGGTTTGAGATCCTCCCCTACGCGGTTTTTTTGTTTTTCGCGGGAGTGGTTTCGGCGGCTTAAGGGGCTTCTGTGGGATGTATTCGAGTGCTATAGGGGTTTAGGGTTTAGGGTTTAGGGTTTAGGATTATTACAGGTTTGTACTGGTGTCTAGGGCTCTAGAGGGTTGTTTTCTTTGGTTTAGGGTTTGAGAAAAGGAACCTTTAACTTGTTGTTGTGGTTTAGGGTTTAGGGTTTAGGGTTTAGGGTTAGTATGCGCCAGAGATGACCCCAGAGGTTAACTGGACTTGAGTAACTAGTCTTTGGCATTACGTGTTGCGTGTGGCCGTGCCTTTGTCGTGGGCGTTCTGGGAGTCATGTTGGCGACTACGATGAGTACGATCTGGGCTTCCTTCTGAATTCTTTTTTGGTGAGTCCTTGACCGGATGTTGCCAACAAGCCGTGCTCGTGATTCCGTGGTTTTCCGACATACAGAAATTCGAAACGAGGGCACGTATCGTGATGCCATACATCCTTACCCGCACACCGGACGGGGATACGTTTCCTCCTAGCCAGGAAGCTCGCGCCGATGCGACGAAAACGATAGGCGGGACTGTTGATTCAGGATGGGTACTGATGAGAGACGGAACGGGCACGGTCAAGCAAACAAGCCCAAACCCTGCCCGGGACACTGAATTCACTGATCGCAAATCAACCCCATATCCGTCTGATGCTTGGCGTAGGTCACAAGCAGACCGTACATCCAGACCTCCGGGCCTAAGACCCAAGCCTTAACACCCAAATCCTTAACCCCTCTCCCGGATTTCAAAAACTCAGATCCGAGTTGGGAGAGCTTCAGCCCAAACCCTGAAGCCCACTGGCTAAAGCTAAACCTAAACCCCCGAAACCCTAGAATATATAAGGGGGCCTTAATAATATGATTTCAGGGATATTCCTTAGTTAAGAATAGAAACCCCTGTTAGTCATCGTCTTCGCTGTTACTTGAGCCAGTGCCGGCCTCTGCTGTGGAGACAGAACTATGCAGAGCCTCGCCGGCCTTGTGCGAGTGCGAGAGCCGAAACCCCTAAACCCCACTGCCTTGATAGGTG